TCTCTTAGAAAAAGCTTGTAGCTTTTGCCAACAGGAATCTAATAAAATATAAAACAGAAGAGTTTACTGTACAGTGTGAAAAAAGCGTAGGAAAATGATTATATTTTACAGGAGGAAAACCACAACATGGAGAGGTTCCGAGTTCCCCAAGATCGCATGGGAATTGAGTAGCAGAGCTGGGAAATGAATCCAGCTGTTTTGTGCTTCAGCTTGTTTTAAACCCAGTGTAGTCCGTCCAGTTTGCAGGCTCCCCTCCGGATCTGTGTAGCCAGTAAGTGGGGAAGTAAAATCAACCGTGGTCTAACAGCAACTATGCACTAAGATATTTCATATTCAGTGAAATGGGATGGATTTGGATACGTTCAGGCAGACAGTTTGTGCCCCTTCGGAAAGCTTTAATTGAACCACTGATTGTCGTGGCTCAGCCAGCTCCCTGTTCTGGCTCAGAACATGAGTTGTCAAAATAAGCCGTGGAGAGGTGAGTACACATCAGCTTTGCGTGCATTTCAGCACACAGTGTCTCCAAACTAGTCACGTTTCTTCAGATCCATCTCAAGCATCATAAAATGACCTTTTCCAAAATATCTTTTAAGGCACATGGCAACGCGAGTAAGAAAATGGACTCAAACTCTTCATTCGAGTGGCCTCACGCGCTGAACGACAACGGGACACACAAGTACCTCTACTTAGAAGGCAACGTCTCCTACGTGGACTTCTACCTTCACCAGCCTTCGGTGGCAGCCGTCTTCATCGTCTCTTACCTCCTGATCTTCCTGCTCTGCATGGTTGGCAACGGAGCCGTTTGCTTTATCGTCCTGAGGAGCAAACACATGCGCACAGTCACCAACCTTTTCATCTTAAACCTGGCTGTCAGCGATTTACTGGTGGGAATCTTCTGCATGCCCACTACCCTCCTGGACAACATCATTGCAGGTAGGCTGGTAAGCAGCACGCGGCAGGAAGAGCTGGAGGGGGACTCGCCGGCGTCTCCGAGTGCTGGCCTCCCTCGGGGCCGGAGAGCCAGCGGCGTATTTCCGAGTGGGCTCTAGAGGCGTTTCGAGTCACGGGAAGTCAGGGGTGAGGAAGCCAAGCCTCTAACTCACCTTCTGATTGCAGTTTTCCTTGCTGACTTCTGCAGCCCTTGTCTTTAGGAAGGGAGACTTTACGTTGAGGAAGACTTGGCAGATGCAGAGAAAGATGTACAGTAGCGGCCATTCCCTTTCTTGTCTCGAGGTCTCCTTTTAGCGGGATGTTAAACCACCAATGTTTGCCTTGCTGTTTTTGTGGAACATCAGAAACTCAGCTGAGGCAATTGGCAAAGCATTTTTTTCCATAACCTCTGCCTCCCTATCCCCTGGTACAGCCTGACAGAGCTAAAGAAATGTATTAGTTCCAGGCTGGAAATTTCATCTTACGCGTATAAGCACAGTGGTGCGGCGAGACGGCGGCAATTTCAACTGCCTGTTTCCTTCCAGGATGGCCCTTTGGGAGCCTGGTTTGCAAGATGAGTGGGATGGTCCAAGGCATCTCTGTCTCTGCCTCTGTCTTCACTCTGGTTGCTATTGCTGTAGACAGGTAAGATGCTGCAGAGACCCCAAACCGTCGCTTCCCTCTCCCTCTGGCCACCTGCCCACGCCGTGGCCGATTCACTGATCCCCACCGCGCTGCAACGCATGAGATGTATTTTGCTACGGAGTCTGTTAAGCAAAACAAAATGTGGCCGAGTCTGAAGAGCAGCCACAGCAGTTTGCTTCTCCACAGGTATCTCCCAAAGGCAGTACAAGCTGGGCTGCACCTGCTGCCTACAATTGGTTTGTTCCTCAGCTATTAATCTAGAGAGCAGAGGCACCAGTACCTCCTTTGGTTAAATGACGTAGCGGAAGCAGCAGGCTGATACAGAGACAGATCAAAATGAGGACATTTTAACAGCAAGCTTAATTATTTTTTTTTTGAGATCGTTTTTACCAATAGAGCTCTTAAACAAAACAACTAAAGGCAACTCCACGGGTTTATGCAGGATGAGGAGATGATTCCATCTCTACTTTTGAAAAAACAAGCCTGTGTACGCTCTGCTTGCCTGTTAGATGAAGCATTCCTGAACCAGCTTCTCCACACGTGTCCCCTGGTGTCTTTGCCGCAGGTTCCGACGCGTTGTTTGTCCGTTCAAGCAGAAGCTGACCGTTTCCACCGCAGTCGCCGTTGTGGCGGTCATCTGGATTCTGGCCGTCGCCATCACGTGTCCTTCCGCAGTCATGCTGCAGGTGCAAGAAGAGAAGCGTTTCAGGGTGATCCTTGGCTACGGCAACGAAACCCGCCCCGTACACTGGTGCCGGGAGGACTGGCCTAGCCCG